TCTTTCCTGGAACTTCTCATCTCCTCCAAGCATATTTTCTAGCTGTGGAAGTAAAAAGTTTGTCAAACAGATCCAGGCTCAGATAACATCAGTCAAAAGCACTTCTTCTAGCTTTGGCTTTCAGGTACTCCAGAGTTACATCAAAGAGCATCAGTAGGAGTGCACTGGTCTGTGAGAGCTCAACAACATGCACAAAACTTCTGGAATGAAGATGTTTAGAGAGGACAGAAAAGTATCGGTAATGCAGAGCCTTAGGCAAAGCAGTTAATACTGACTGTAGCCCAAAGACAATGAATTAAGTCCTCCCTTTTTTTAAGGGAGAGGATTGAGGGTGATAGTAAAATAAACAAATAAATAAATCTCTGATGGGGGGGAAAAACCAAAAAAAGTCAGCTAGGAATTGTTTTTTCCTGTTTGTCAATACCTGATCGACCAGAGGCGTCATCAAGGTTTCTGCTCTTTCCTTACTCAGGAACTTCTGGGTGTCAAACAGGAAGAGCTTGTGCAGACAGTTCACGGTGAACTGCAGCAGTAGACAGCTCTTTTCTGTGCTATTCTCAGAGTCAAAGAAAGCTTCATCTACGTATCAATCAAGGAGAAGGAAAAAAAAATTACCAAAACCATGAAAATACAAAACTTCCTCACAAGATAGAAACATTGTTAGTTTGTGAATATAGCTAAAGGATGTACTCCATAGCAATTATGTACTCATCACTCAGAACAAGAAAGTGGATGCAATATGTTATCTGGCTTTTAGCTAAGGCCCTAGCATGTCTGTCGTCACTGCTGCTCACAGTCAGCTGGGGATAAAAGAGAATAGCTACAGGCTATAGGAAAAGTGCTTGGCCATACCTGTGGATATGGAGAATTTCTTCATGTTACTACAAATGGGACGGACAAATAGTTTCCCATAGAAAAAAGTAATACCTCTTTTTTGCCAAAAAAGCAGAGTCTGAATACATGAGGTAGCATATAAGAGAAGTCAATAAATGACAAAAGAAAAAGCCCAAACAAAACCAAGTCCCCCTCTTTCCGCACAATTTCACTCTCATGGAACTCACTGGGACTGACATTGAAAATTTTCATGTGGTCTCTACTTTGTGTACTGGCAGCCCAGAGCCCATGGATGAAAAATGGCTGTTGGTTCCATCAGAGTAACAAAGACGCCTTCTTTATGAGAGAAAGAAGACAGGCAGAAATGAGAGGCATGTGCTGTGAAGTAAATCCTGTAAGACTAAGCTTTCAGTAATTAAAATTAACCTCTTTCAGCAATTGGAGTTGGCCTGCCAGTGCCTCGCTGTAGTTAGTAACTGAAAACTTACCAGTTTTAGAACTGTTGACCTGGTTCAGTGTCTCAGCAAATGGCTTCACTAAATGACCAGCAAACAGGGTGAAGAGACCCTTGAGCTTGTCTGCAATGCAGTCTGCTATTCGGTGGAACGTCAGCAGTCTGTCTTTTAGGGTACACTCTGTTTTGGACCAGTCAAAGAGCTGAAAGTGAAAGGCAGATTAGCTCTTTCCTGTGTCTGTGCACTGGAAAAATGTCAATATGCCGATGGAGATGGAGTGTATTTAAACTACTTACCTTGAAGAAGAGGGGTCTGAAAGAAGCTTCAGAAAGTTTCATAACCATACTTATCAGACAATCGATAATGTAAGCTTCTGTCTTACCAACTTCTTCTAAATCATCCTAGAAAAATTAGAAAACATAATTCCAAGTCTGAAATGTAAGAATTTGAGCTTTCAAAGCACGTTTTAATTCTGTCTGTTTCAGCCTAAATACCTAACCATAACGTTTTCTACCCCAAGAACAATTCCGGAACAGACTATTCAATACCCAGAGTTTCAGAGCACATATCCAATGAAAACTACTAATATTTAAAAAAAACCCCGTGATAGAATTAGCATGTAGAGGTTGAGCTGCTGCTGTTCACCCCTCTAAACAAGCCACCTGGGCATGCTCTGTTCGGAAGTCCAAGGCTTTCATGAAAAACGCCGTCAGCTCAGACTGATGGGAGATCAGGTGCTCCTTCTCCATACCAACAATGTGCTCCTTCAAAATGTTCATAAGGGGACCCAAGCAGTTCTGCCAAAACAAAAGCAAAGCAATGCAAAGGCAACCATGACACTGACAGTAACCGAGAAACAGCACAAAAGAACTGGCTTTTGCACTTCACACATTTACTCATTAAACTACTGTTGATAAAGAAACTTTGTCCTATACATTTTGGCAGCTTAAGTTAGTAGCATTCCTGAAGAGACTGGGCTCCTCTCTCCAATACTGGAGATGATGCCAGTTAAGTCTGAAGGGTTTGCACCTATGAGACAGGAGCAAAGCCCAGATGAAAATTATGACTCAACTCGTGTTCCTAACGGACAAATCAAGGCCTTTATGAATGGGATGATCTCTCAAGCATTCATCATCTCGCATGCTACGGACACTAAACTGGTGCATTTCTCCCAGGTCTAACTTTCCTGAATCACCACTGTGGTACAAAAGAAAACAGAGATAATATAAAGACTGGTAGGTTTGGCTGGGGTGGAGTTAATTTTCTTCATAGCAGTGCATATCGTGCTGTGTTTTAGATCTGTGACCAAAACAACGCTGATAACACACCGGTGTTTCAGCTGTTGCTGAACAGCACTTGCACAGTGTTAAGACTTTCTTTGTTTCTCACTCTGCTGGTGGTGGGCAAGAGATTGGGAAGGGACACAGCCAGGACAGTTGAACCAAATTTTGCTCTGCTTGTTTCTTTTTTTTTTTTTTTTTCTTTCTTTATTTTTAATCACAATGCAAAAGAGTGAAAAAACGCCATACCTTCCGGGTATTTGCCACTTCACTGTAACACTTTGTAACTGCAGGCAGGAGTATTCGGGGAGCGAGCCTTGTAGCTAGGATAGTTTTCAATGATGTTACACGTAAGCTTATCTGGGAAGAAGGACCAAACTCGACCACAATCCTTTCTAAGCGGACAGTCTAGAAGGGAATCCAACAAGAGGCACGCTTAAAACAACTCAAGAACTTATTTTACAGTAGTCATCTGTTGCAAGTGTCAGATGGGAATTTTGCTGTTTGCACCACTTGGAGCACCTTACATTAAGATGTCTGCGCACAGAGCTTCGCTGTCTTCAGAAGAGAAACACCGAAAAAATGTGCATGTCAGCAGCAGGGGGTCAGAATTACCCTAACTAGAGCTGTTAGATACACATTTGAGGAGATCATGGGTATTACAGAATGATCCTTCAGGATTCGTCTCCCTTTCCAAAGAGGCAAACTACAACCTGTCGGAGGGAGGAGACGCTCTTGTATTCTGTATCTTAGTTACCTGCATAAGAAGGTGAGTAGAAAAGTAATATGTTATGACCTTCCACAGAGTTGGCACACACTCCCTTCAGTTTCAGAGAGGAAAAAAGTAATCTCTCTAACAGCTTCTAGGAACTCGGCAGACCCTTTACAGATCTGTAGGAGTCAGATAGCTCACCTGCAGCAAGCAATCCAAAAGGTAAGGACTAAGGAAGTGTGGTAATGTTTCTGCAACCTTCAGCAGAGCAGTGACAGCACTCAGCAAGTAAATCTCATTGGAGACCAGCTCCTTCTTACTTTTTAAAGTCTTCAACAGTGCCGGCATCAGCCTATGAATAACCAAGCATAAACAGAGAAAAGTGAAACCGCTGACCATTTGAAGGCACGTTTCCAATCACATAAATCCATCTCTTAAGCCTGCAGAGGCAATTTTCACATGAATTTTTACATGTGTATTTGAGAAAACTCAGTATTCTGGGCTTTACTGCTGCATTTCATTTTTTCAAAGCTAGTGAAGGATATTAGGTTTAGAATCACAGAATCATGGAATGGTTTGGGTCAAGTGATCTTTAAAGATCATCTAGTCCAACCCCCCACCACAGGCAAGAACATCTTTACTAGATCAGGTTGCTCAAAGCCCTGTCTTTAAAGATTTAATGACAGTAAGAAACTTATTATATGTAGTGAGATCAAACAGTCTTAAAAGCAACAAGTTAGATGCTTGAATTCTTGAATAGGGAGAAAAAAAAAAAAAGTAACACACAGGGTTTCCAACTGTACTGGTTCTCATGTTTTTAAAATGCAGTTTGCTCTACAGTAAGAGTGCAGAATATGGTCTGACTTTTCTAAAGCCATACAGATTGCCCCTTTGTTCACAGTAGCAGACTCCATACGGAAATCTACTCATTATAAGAATTTCCCCATTGGCTGCTTCTTCGTTCTATGACCAGGAAGCACCTTCAAGCACTACGAACACCTTTATTCTTATCTACACAAAACACACACGTGGGCAGACTGCCACTTGGCCTTCATCAACATTCCTTCCGTAACACATTTCTGTATAACTAGTTGCTGCTGCAGTTGGTTCTGTTAAAAAGAATACAACAGTACCTTGGAAGCTGAGGTATTGCTTGGGCTTTCAGTGTACAGGTGACCTCAGCTATACAGAGCAAAGCACTTCCCATCACATTCTTTTCCTCCTTCTCTGAAGAAATTAGATCAATGGCAGTTTTCAGAACAGGTACAAATGGCCCTGGATTTTCTGTGCCAAAACCTTTGCAGAGTAGCTTGAGGCTGAACAAAGCAGTCTGCCTGTTGATGGCTTGTTCCTCCTCTTCCTCCTTTCTTTTACACTGCACAATAGCAATGAGCTCAGGAACTAGCTCTAAGAGCTGCAGGATCTAAGAGGACAAGAGAACACACACATTAGACATATATTTAGAAACTCAGGACCTGCAGGGTAACTGTGGGCAGGTAGCCTACGTCTCGCTACTCAAGAGCTGCCTGCCAGAGCTGGAATGGGTACTTGATGACTTCACACAGAGCAAACCACTTCTACATCAATCTCTGCCTACTTCTGCTAAAGGAACTGACTTTAACCACTTTGCCTCACCTGGCTCTTCTGCCACCTTGTGCGCTGCTGCACCTTATTGTTCAAAAGGTCCATTGCCTTACGTCTCACAGATGGGAGCTGATTCGTCATTAGTCCCCTGATTACAGGGATGAAGGTTTCTGTTGGCAATAAGGCATTCACCTACAAGAAAACACAAAACAATACCATAAATGCTCTTCCATGCACTGTGACGTAGCAGCCTCCAAATAAGACAGGCAAACTCTCTTCAACTTCCCACATGGGTTTCAGGATCAAAGAAGAGAGGACAGGCTAGCAATGCTGTATCCGAGGCAAGTAAAAGAATAAAGCAGGTTCCAGTTACAATACTTAATGTATGTTCACTGGCTGCTAACCAGCCATTCATTATCCATTCGCTCCAAGATTTCCTCTGCCATTCCTTCTGCCTACACTGGTGAGCTATACTGCCTTACCCTAAAATACTTCTGGTAGTGCCCTGTGCACGTACATCATGAAAACTGGAATATGCTTCATAGGCAAAAAAAAAAAAAAAAATCCAAACCGTGAAAATATGTATGCTCCACAGCATGTAAAGAGAGAACCAGTCCAATTCTACAAATATACTTCCGATCAGAAAAAGATTAGAAAGAAGAAAAGCATAAGGATTTTTTTCTCCGTTTAATTTCCATGTAGAAATATACATTAGCATTAGTTAAATCATTTTATTAGTTAACAGTGAGAAATGCTGCCAAAAGCCATTCTTCTCCACCAGACAGACAGTGAAATGATTCTTCCAGCCAGCAGAATACTAACTAGAGGAAACACTTACTGCATTCCTGATTTTTTTTCCTGGTAGTTCTGCCTAAGCTGTTAGCTGCAGTTATTAAAGTTGTTAGATGAGAATAAACAATGATGCACCAGGTGGCAGACCATCCAGTACAGATTAGCATTAATCCAACAAGAAATCCTTGTGAAGGTTACAATCATATTAATAAGCAAAAGCAGAAATGCCCCACTGCTAACATGAGGGCTAATGAGACATACTTTATCCAGCATATCATAGGACTTGTTAAGCAGAACCCTCCAAAATTTGGCTGTTGGCTTGTCCACGTTTGATTCCACTGAAGATGCCACAGTGTTGATATAGCGAAGAACTTCTTCTAATAGCCTAGATGGAAAGGAAGCATCCATCTAGTTAGTAACAAGAACACTAAGGAAGTCAACTTTATTACTGGAAAGCATAAACTTTCATGAAACAGCAACAATAAAAGAAAATGAAAAACCGAATGGAGAGACTAGTGGATCACATCTACATATTAACAAAAAGCTATGGCAGTACGGACAATTGTGCACATTAAAGAAGTTTTCCTTTTACCCCCCAATTAGCGTCTACATACAATAGTAATTCTGCTTTAGAACTCTATTTTAAAACCAAAACAAGCTGGGAAGATATGGATATTTAAAAATTTAAAAATGTAAGAAACACAGCATTTAAAGTAACTCCTACACCCTTTTTCACTTCAAACAAACACAGAAGTTAAGCCTCTGCAAAGGAAACCCTCAATTTTGCATCACTGGCTGGTTCAGCCCAATGACTACAGCTGTGATCTGTGACTACTGGTAATTTTCTTACACCGATACAGGGGCACCTGTGAACAACCATTTTGTTTCCTATGAATGAAGCAATATGTTTTGCTAAAAATCTGGAATTCTGTTAGAGACTCCATCATCAATAGCATAATAGTTATGGCCAAGTATGTAAATAAGCACTATCAGAAATGCAGAAAGAGTGGATATTGGGTAGAGCAATCTTTCAGAAATAAAAAATTCCACATCACACTAAAAAACCCAAACCAAACTGAACCCCAGGTAACCTGCATATAATAAATAGGGCTTGTTGCTGTGGACAACGTTAAAAGTATCCCTGGGGAGAAAAAAAAAAAAAAAAAAAAAATCATTCTAGTGGGATCACACTTTAAAATATTCCCAGGCTGCAATAAAAGCTAGAAATAGGAGGAGCGGAGCAGATTTACAGCATACCTCTGTTCCAACTTCTGCAGCTCTTCTGTTTCTTGACATTCAACTATCTGGTTTAAAAGGGAAGAATGAAAACGCCATGAATGGAACCTACATCCCCTCATTAACTTACTATCCCGGTATACGCAAATGTGTTTGTTCTGAATGAAATGTCCCCTAACATGGTAATTACGAGCTCCCCACATTTGCACTTCAGCCATCATTCTAGAAGAAAATCTGAGAATCTTAGGCAATGCAGTCACAGTAGCAAATACATTTCATGCTGCTGGCTGATGTTCAGTTGAAAAACTGGGAACTACTTCCAGCTAGAGCCGCAGCCAAAAATCTGTAGCATTTGTTTTGTCTTTTCAGAGTTAGTAGTATGAATCCCACACCAACCTTAGGAGTTAGACAGACTGCAAATGAAATCCCAGACTCCATAAAGCCAGTGGGAATCCACTGGGACCAGAATTTCACTTTGTTACCTATTCATCAATCACACAAACGAAGTCTATCTGGAAAAGCCTTATTAAAAAATAATTAACATTACAGAGAGGTTTCAAAGCTGTGTCAATAAAGGTGTCAGCAAGATACACTGGACAGTGTATTCTTTTATCGCCTTTGAATATAATACTAAAATACTAAAAAGCAAATTAAACCTCATCTATTACAGTATGGGACAATTACTTAATGCAATCAGTTTAAAATCAATCTGCCAGTATTACCTTTTTCACAAAACTCTGAGAGGATAAAAGTTGTGACATGAAGGAGACTGACAAGAATTTGAAATGCCGGAGCTGTTTGTCTGAGTGAGACTCCACATTAAAGAGCTGCCCATCCTGATTTTTTAGCTTTGTATTGCATGTTCTTGACTTTTTTGGCCCAGAATCATCTGTTGAAAACATGCATGAAACAGATTTGCAGTGAAGACAAACAGACATTTGATTTCTGATTACAGAAACAAAGTAAAATTACAGTCAGATGCCTATCGGGGACAGTCGTTCTGCAGTATCCAAAATCATGTCAAAGTTCCAAAACAGATGCCCTGGAATACCACAAGAGATAAATTTTTCATTTCAACAGTCTCAAAAGAAACAGTGCCATTTCACTGCCATTCCATCTGATTGTTTTTACTTGAAGAATCTTCTTTTTCTTGGTGCTAAAGCTATGGTACACTGGCTACAAACACGAGAGACTTTTGAGGCAGGACCACATACACTGCGTCACACATTTGGGAAAACTGCTTTCAGTGTCATTACTGGTCCTTCCTGGCTGAGAAAACGTATTCAAACAACAAATACAACAAGTCCTAACTTAAAAACAACCAACCAACCCTCACCCACCTTCCCCAATGCTCTTTGAAATAACAGACTGGAAAAGTATTAAAACGTATCGTTTAATTGTTGCTCCACTATATTGTAGTAGAAGGAAACGAAACCTTAAAAAAAACCCAGAAATGACTGGTATTCACAGAAGACAAGATCACAGGGACTAACAGCTTTTTATTTCAACTACATGATTTACTGTACTTTCTAAATGAGGACTAGTATTTGATTCTAAGTGCTCAAATTAATCTATAGTTAAAAAGATTAAAAAAGAAAATCACATATCTTAGCCATTTTATTAAAAAAAAATGTCATTAGAGTAATTCTGTATCCCTTAGTCTTTGGTCTAGAGAAGTAATAGAATCATAAAACAGTTTGGGTTGGAAGGGACCTTTAAAGGTCACTTAGTCCAGTCCTCTGCAGTGCGCAGGGACATCTTTAGCTGGATCAGGTTGCTCAGAGCCCCGTCTGACCTGACCTTGAATATTTCCAGGGATGGGGCTTCTACCACCTCTCTGGGCAACTTGTTCCAGTGTTTCACCACCCTCCTTGTAAAAAATGTCTTCCTTATATCTAGTCTAAATCTGCTCTTTTTTACTTTAAACCCATTATCCCTTGTGCCTGGTAGCAGGAAGGTTTACATGCATTTGCTGGTTCTGTTTTGTGGTTACCTTCTTTGTTCTCTGGCAGCTCTGTCAAGTACTGGATTATTTTCATCATGCTCTGGAAGTGAGTATGTACATTAAATTCGCAACAGATGGAAATCCAAAATTCAGTGTCTGCTTCCAGAACAGCATCCTATTTATGGTTTAGAAATTAAGAAAAAAAAAAATTAAAAAAATTTCAAGAATTAAAAAAAGTAATATTACTAATAATGATAAAATACTCAAAAACTCCTCAGTGAGTTTGTGAAAATGCCATGGTGAGCCGGATACTGCCAGGATTAACACCACGGGAAACAGCAGCAAGCTCTTGGAGAGAACATAGTTCCAGAGGATATAGAAAGAGATTAAATTGCTACAGCAAAGACTGTATCTTCTCACCAATGTTCTTTTAATAATTCTTTTACTTTTGCCCATAAACTACGCTTCACCTAATCCGAGGGCCTGCCTACACAAAAACATAATAGGGTTTTGATCTTGGTCTGTGCAGGAAGACCAATATCATGTTTCACAAACACAGTTAAAAAAAAACAAACCAACTTTAAAAAAATACTGAAGCACCTCATCATTAGATTATCAGCTCTTTAGGTCAAGGATTGCCTTACAATATGATCTGACTTATTGTTCAGGCTCCAGGACAAAACAATATTGTACCTGCAATACAAATTGTAGTCACCATCAGGTTCTGCTACAGCACAAGCTCAGAGCTCGCTACTTATTTTAGCATAACCGAGGGGCTCATCTTGCACCTTCTTAAAGGCAAGACCATGAACAGAAAGGGGGAGATCAGCCCCTTGAGGAAAAAGTTGACCCCACTAGTTTTCTAACCTTGTCTGTGCTTGATGTCGCAGTCACAGTTTTGGTGACGTACTGCTCAAACAGCAGCACCAGGAGAACCCAGAGAAACTTGTCTCCTCCCACCGTAGTGACCAGCTGGGCGAGGATTGGCAGGCGTCGGTGCTCCGGCACATGGGGCAAGGCATCCACAAACACACGAATGATCTTTATCACCACCTCTTCCACGCTTCCCGAAGACTCTGACAGGTCACTGTCTTCAGCCTGTGAACAAATAGGTACAGCCGTTCCAGCAGATCATCGCAGGCGGGTACACGCTCTTTCTTGTAAATTCAGAAAACGAGAGAAAGCGCTATGTGCCTGATAACAGCGTTACCAAAAGCATAATCTCAAGGAAAATACAAGTGCTCCAAAATGAACAGTTCCTTTTCAGTGTTTAAGGAAGATGCTTCAAATAAAAAAAAAAGAAAAAAAAGAAAAAAAGTGGCGAAACAATGAAAACAAAAAAAAAAAAAGAAAAAAAAGGAAGGAAAAAAAATTACTTGTCATCAGCCGAAACAAGCGTGATGTTTTCAAGGGAAAGCAATGCCACATCCTTCTGAAAACTTTCCCTGTAAGCCTGAGAGTTAGGACCTTCGTACTAAGGTCTTGGATTCAAGGACCTAGTAAAAATAATACGAGTAGGCTACATGATCTCACGTAGGTAATGTTAGGCTCTCCCCACATGTAATAATTGTGTGTGCCATAAATAATGTGTCACAGAAACTTGTGATGCCTGCTATGAAAGGTTTTAAATAAAAAAAAATTTAAAAATCCAAAATACCAACAATTTGATTCCTCTAACAGAGATCTGCAAGAGGATGCAAAATGTGCATACATATCATTAGAAAATACACTGGGAAATCCCCAGCCCATTGTTAGAAGAAGAAATTTTTTTCCAATTCATTTTTATGTAATAACTTTATATAGCATTTGCCATGTTTAAATCTATGAATGCCTCTAGAATTAAGATTTATATAGGTGCAAGTGAAGTCTGACTGAAGAAAAAATGTCCCTTTCAAAAAACAATGATGTATTTTTGCTTTGGTTTATAACCATTTATCCATTTATAACCATTTATGTCCAGACAAAACCAAGAAAACTCACAAAAACACCAGCTGGAAGAATAAAAGCATTTGTCAAATATTTTACCTTTCCACTTCCTTCAGACCATGTCTACTGCTGATATGACACACTATTATAGGACTAATAACCACCTTCTTATTTCCAGTGATTCTGCTACTGAACTTGCCTGCTATTTTTATGATTAAAAACTTGAATTTAAAGTATGTTTCACGTCCTCTTTAAGTACAGCTGTGATACTATTTTGGCTAAACCATTTATAAAGTGTAGGAGCTGATAAGATTAAAAGGAAGCACTGGTCAGATGAGGAGTAGTCTGTTAATATAGTTATTATATATAATTTAATATCTATCTAAAAATAATCCTAGAATAGGCTACAACTTATTCTACCACTGATATTCTAACCCACTTAATTAATAAACTTTTGTTCAACTTTTTTCTGCTCCTTTCCAACAAGTAGACAAATTTACCTGTATAAGAGCAGGAATAACCATCTGCACTGTCTTATTAATTACTTGGAAAGTGTAAGTATCATCCAGACGCAAGACATTTGCTCCCATGAATGTAAAGATGGGCATAATGTTATGGAGAACCTTATCCTGGAAAAGAAGACAGATGAGATTAGTTTGTTTTTTGAACTGTGCTGCTCTGCCTATCATACCTTCAGCATTTCTCCCTCCCACAAATGCCACTAGAATCATTAGTATCTTCCAAAACTAATTTTGAATGTAGTGGCCCTTAAAGCTACTTACTGTGTGATTGTTAAGAGTTCTAAATACCACGTAGAAACCAAGATACACTTCTAAGCAAGTAATTAAGGAGTGGAAATTGAGAGTTTAGTCTGATGAAATACCTTGAATTCTTCCACTCAGTGCCATGGTAGTATGACAAGCAAAATCAGCTACAGGGAGATTTGCAGAAGCACAAATGTGAGCGTGGCACAGATTCCAGTGATTTTCATACCTTTCCTACCCACCCTTTTTTAATCTGTAAAACATCTGTGGTATCTGTGATCATACAATGGAAGCCAACCACACTCATGTTAATTTTTGGCTTTTTTTGGGGCTAGACTGTAATCACAGTAATTAAGAGGGCTGGATTAGAGTTGTCACCTAGCTCAAAAGTTAGTTTCCTAGATTTTCCCAGAATTTAGAGCAAGAAGTTATGGGCACATTTTTCATTACGTTTTAGTGAACTGAAGGAGTGTTTTAGATTTAAAAAGAGAGAGATGAGACTCAAAATATTTCCTTGAATTCAGACCGTGAAAATCTTGTTAGAGCCAATATTAATCGAGCATAAAAGCTCGCTTCTATAGCAGGTGATAGCAGCAAGATGGTGACAAACAACCCCAACAATAGAATGCCAAATCTTCCACAAATTTGTCAAAAATGTTGCGGTTTTGCCTTTTGGGAAAAACGCTCTTTCCAAATGTGTGGAGAAAGTACTGAGGTAAAGATGCAAACTGAGTTTGATACATCTGGATCCATTTTGCTGCTTTTATAGTTTCAAAGCAGAAGAATCTTACTTAGAAGAGTAAGTGTACAGTCACATTTCAATCCATAGAAGAACAGGCCTGTTTCTTGGTCAATTAAAACCAGACCAACCTGGTTTTATCATCAACCACAAATACATTTCTCTTGGTGTTGTACAAGATAGGAACTTCGTCTAATGCACTTAACTGCAAATCATAAATGACTTGTGACCAAAGCATCAAGACAGAGGTTTGTTTTCAAGTAAAATGGAATGGAAAGCCCTAAAAGAGCAGGGAACTTGTAAATTTGGCCTCTTGCTCCTTTCAGGTTTCTCCCCATAGAACAGCTCTGCATGTTCTTCACTCTTCCCAATATTTGGAACCTGAAGAGCTGACACATAAATTTCAAGTACTACTTACAGGAAACATGCCAGCAACAGCACCAAGGAGAAGCAGTGCATGGTGGTGTGTCTGCGGCATTTTAGATATCCTGATACACTGAACTATCAATTCCACATTGAATTTTTCTTTGTCAAGGATATCTGCAAGTGAAAAATACTCACTGATTAGCACTTCTGTGGTCAACCATGTAAGAATAAACAGTAAGCTCAAGCACTGGTTTCAATTTGCAGACCATACCTAAGGGATCTGCAAAAAATTATTAATAAGGCAAACTTGTACACCCTATAGAGGAATCTATCTCTCCTCAACAATACAGCATAGGCTCAGAGAAGGAAAAAAGTTATGAGGCCATTGTTTTAATGCTGTACTGGTAAGAGAAGTACCAAGAAATGGGTCTGGCAATTTTTACCTGCTGGAACCTTGCTACCATCTGAAGACAATTTCTGACAGATGCTTAGCAGGCAGCTGAGGATTAGCTGCTTTGTATATTCCATATTTTCTTCTTCCGATGCCATAGGTTCCAGACACCTATACATTCAGGAAAAAAATTAGAAATGAAAAAGGAGACAGAAAAATAAGCAACCAAACTGCACATTAAGATATAAATAAGAAACTGCAACCTTCATTCTACTGAAGTTCTAAACTGAGGCTTCCAAAAAGCATTTGCCAAGAAGTGTCTCTTTTGTTTTCAAATACATCAACTGGTCTAATAAAAGGCATTTATCAAAGTGCTGTCAGGAGTATGAGGTGATTATGTGAATGTGACTGCCAGTCTATGTAAAGGCAAGTCTTAAGATAAATACCCAATCTATATGTAAACTTTCTTAAGTGCCTGGAGATAGGGCTGGCAGGAGAAGTGATTGTTTTCTTAGGTTGCACTGGATGAAGGCTGTTCCACAATGTTTCAGGAGGAATTTTAAAGCTTAGAGTATTATTACAATAGCTCTGCAAAAGACACAAGTCCTGTCAATTGTGGCAGTTTTAGCACAGGTGTCATTCTTCTTCGCAATCCCAAGCCCTCCACCTGAGAAACAAAGCCTTCACATAAGCAGCTATGCATCCGGTAAAAATCTTAAAAAGCCCATCGCATTGTTTAAAGGGCAAAAAAGTCGTAACAACTTCCCATTCCCCTCATCTGATTTACCTAAGAGAAGTTCAAGTGAAAAAGTCAAGCTAAGCTACAAAACACAGGAACAAAGCAGAGAGAAAGCAGCCCACATCTGAATGCTTTACAGTGTCTGCTGTAGAAGAGAATGCTCTTCTAATAGAGCGTGTTACGGAGGCACGATTACCGGCTCAGCAGGTTAAAAAGCGCAGGTACCAATGCCTGCGGGCGTCTAAGTTTCTTCTTATGCTGCAGGAGTTCCAGAATAAGCATAACCCTCTGCCAGCTGAAGGGACTTGTTTCTGGTGCCAGTTCTGCATCTTGAGGCTTTCTAAAAACATAAGACAAACAATCAGGATATACATTTGCAAAGAAAATAGTACAGTGTTTTGGGGATCAAACACACACGTGAGTAAAAAAAGACAAATTTTCTTTCACGTAGTAATATCCTTTACTGCTCCTCCTGGGACAGGTGGCAATGCACGGGCTTTTGACTGAAGCAGCAACACATTTCAAACAATCAACAGAAAATTCAAACCAAACTTGAAAAAACCTCAACAAGTATAGCATACAAAAACTCTATACAACGAAGCTGTGGAAGAAAAACAAAATCTATTACCAAATAACTGTCCGAATGCTGACCTGCTTGCCATCCAGGCAACTTGCACCTTCTAGCCACAGTTGTCTAGCCACTGACTGTGCAGGCAATGGGTGTGTGCGCACACAGTTTACAGACGGATCAATCTAATGGGTGATGATTGTTAAAAAAGGTCAAGTGAAGGAAAAGAACAGCTATTCCAGGTCAAACCGAGAAAACCAACTCAATGTCCTGTTTCAACAACAACTGAGAGCCAATGCTTAAAGAAGAGAATCAGTACAGTGGACAAAAAGCTTCTTCCTTATGAGAATGGAGAGAAGAAGCAAGACAGATTTAAAAATTAATTATTATATTAATGTTTAAACTGAAAGAAAGTACTGTTTTTCAGTCAACTAACAGGAACATTTTGATGAGCATCTGTAGGCTTCATCCATGTGTATGTAGTCTGTCCACACATCTTTATTACTAACCAAGTTTAACACCTTCAAAATGAATCACATTCAACTGTGTCAAGCCAGATTCTATAAGAGCAAATGTCAACATTAAAACTACTGTATTTTTTTTTATTAAATTTTGACTATAGCTTCATCAGTTCTCAAACAGTAACATGAGTTGGTTTTCTTCTACCGAAAGTAGCTCAGAGTTATTTTACTGTGCAGAGGAAAAAAGAAACAGATATTTATGCTTTCAATATGCAATGCAGTAAAGGACTGAGGTTTTCACGCTGTACAGATAATATTTTTGGGTTTCTAGTTATTTTACCTCTGTTGCTGCATTTTCTGCCTTCTAGTTTGCTGAACAGTGCCCAGACTTTTGGTTTTCTCAGGAGGCTCTAGTTCTTTGACAATCTGCTCAGCACACACTGAAATCTAAACCAAAGAACAATAACGCAAGTACCAATGAACAATGTGTCATATCACATGTCTATCACATCTATGCCCCCTCCTTTTTTTTTTTTAAAAAAAGGCATCCCTTCCATGCACATATGGATATATAATCCACATATTCAAGTCATATAGCAGAAAATGAAAATCAGTGCAGCAGAAAGAAGTGAACTCTGATGAATTCATTCACATAGTATAGTACATGACTGATGCATGGCTTTTAAAGAAATAGCTTCTAAGAACAGTCATTTAACAAACTTCTCATGCCATTAACACAATTATATTATGTGACAAAATGCTATGAATGATATAAACAATGAGTGTTATTGACTGTAGCAACATAGAACCACTGCAACAGGTTTGAACATATTTCTGGGTTCTGGAGTTTGCCACTTACCCCTTTAAACACACTGCTAATTGTCTGGGCGCAAAGCGGGTCCTTACAGTTTAACAGTAAGTCGAACAATACTTTTAATAGTTTCTGTTGCACCATCCCATCTGACACAGCTGCAAAGAATGGTTTAGTAATCTAAAAAAACGGGGAAAAAAAGGGTTCAGAATTTTACTGTAAGAAGGTAACGAAATCACAAGCTATGGAACTTAGGTATGTTAGATTATGTATGACACATCCAATCACACACACACATTAGTATGAACATATATTGTAAAAATTGGCATATTAACTATGTATTTGTATATATCTAGGAATCCTTAGATGCCAAGCACATACTTCTGAAATATCCATCAGACGTACTGATTCCTGAAATTTTTCACACAGCTTGCCTGGTGGGGGGAATAAACTTGCTGTTGCCAGCCTTTGGTAAGTGTAGACTAACACCTGGTTAATAGAAGGCCTGAATTTGTAGCCTTTTTCAAATGAGACTATTTCTCACCTACTGTATTTTCTTGACAATTTTTCCTCAGAAGAAAAACACGAAGTAAAGCTCCTGCCTGACTTACAAAAACTAAGGACAATGGAACAGTAGTATCTGCAGGCAACGATACAGGTGTTCATCTGCATGCAAATACAGTGATGATTCTGTTCTGTACTTGTCAAAATGCAAAAATAAAGAGAGCAGCAATTTCTCCTGGTAAGTTTAAGAGAAAGTTTTGCAGCCTGTTTAGATGTTTCAAAGACACTATGGAGACCTTGAAAACTTGTACGAAAAGAAAGACAGGTCAAAAGCCATGGACTAAACACAGAAAAAGCCCTTGTAAATCCAGTCCTAAACACTGCTATTTGCTTTAAGCATAAAAATAAAATTAAAGATCTTTCATAAAGCCATACCTGCCCAAGTGCTGTGATCTGAAATGGTGGAATTTCTTCATAGATTTTCTTGGCAGCATGTAGACTTTTGATAAATAAATCCAGACTCTGCTGATTCTTGCACAAGAGTGTTGCTGAATATTCGTTAAACTTTCCAAGGATAAGATACAGGAGAACAACTTCATCTTTCAACATTGCCTCAGGTTTCTTAGAGACCTTCTCTAGCAACCGGTCTAGTGCAGGCAAGAGGTGAGAAAGGATCATCTGCAAACAGAGAAAATTCATAACAGAAGTTTTTATCCATTCGCATTTTAATAAACTTCCAATAGCACAGCTGCATTTTACTGCAACATCCTCCCTCTGACAGAGCATAAAAATTCGTAATTCCATTCATTTTTTGAACACTAACTCACATATTTTCCAGCAGAGAATTCTGAATATACTAGACATGAGGAGGTTAATACACACAAATAAATAAAATTGATAGTACTACCTACTCTGTTACAATTCTGCACAGAAAATTCTAGATTCACTGGTATCTAACCAAGGTAATAAATTTCTCCCAGAATAAATCTTCTTCTTTTTCCATAACATAAGGGGATTTTCCTTAAGAACTGTAGGGCAAAATTCCGCAGCCCTCATTCCTGGATGGAACATGCAAATATTTTATGTTTCATTACACCGTACTTCCCAGCACTACTGCATATTATTAGAAGTGTCAACTTAATGCCTAATAGTCTAATACATTATGAAGTTATTTAACAGCATTACTACTAAATGAAATTTGAATTCAGCATTTCAATCAAGTGCAAAACCCATAAAACAACTAGAAAGGCAGCATTTACCTCACCATGGACTTCATGAAGAATTTTCATTAAGTTTCTTGCAATATATGATGGGAAAGTAGGGTTCTGTACACAATCAAGTATGCTTTCCAAAGCTTCCAACAACTTTTTCTTCTGAGATTTCTGTTTTGGTTGTGTCTCAAGCTCCTCAAATAGAGTTTCCATCATCTAGTCATTAACAAAGCGAAAATTAAGTTATTTCCCTGCAATAAAAATGCCTTAAAACATCATTTATTCAATGCTTTTGTAATAATGCATCCAGATACAAAAAGAATTCTTAATCTGTATATAAATCACAAGTTAATACCTCTTATTTGATTGATATTCTCAATTCTCTGTATATAATAAATCACTTGAATATTTTTATAGTCTTCAAAAAATATATATATTAAAAAAAGTCTACTATCGTAAACAAAGACAATGAACTTTCCCAGTTAACTTGATTTCTTTTAGAAAAGATGGGAGCTCACAGCAGCAGACAAAACTTGTATCAATGTACACCTTAATAACAAAAATACCTGTGTTATGTATGTAGGGTCAGATACGATTTCTTCTGTCTTTTGCTCCAAATGCTGAAGAACAGGATGCAATAGAGACTCCTTTATCCCTCTCAAGGAATGGAGGCAGTTGAGAGCAGCCCTTCGAACTTCACTCACAGGACTGCCCAAGTTAATTAGCAAAGAGATCACCACTGCAAAAAAGAGTGAGGGAAGGAAGGAGGAAAACACACAGATTAAAGTGAATGGTCAGAATTTTACTGTATCTGTCCCCAAAGAGGCATCAACATTACTTTGGAATTAAGAAGTCATCTCTTTTCACTATAAAGACATTTATAAACCTCTCAACTACACAAAACCAACATGAATCTCACTGATCTGTGCCTCTGAACTTCTTCATTACAGTCCTTCTATTTGTGCTTAAGCTCAGAGAGTTCATATATTGTGGCTGACTGCCACATTCTTATACCGCACAGAAAGTAAGGTGCTGTAACTGACTTCTTCAGCACAGCAGCATGTTTCTTTAACACTTTTAAGAGTAAAAAAAAAGTGGCTTCACCTACTTCCAAGTTTGGGCTAGTAACTGCAGCAGTGAATCAGCAAGAGAGCCGTCTCAGCCAGCCTAGTGCAGCTGAACATCAATAACTATAGATACCCTTCATGGTATAAAATATAGTAAAATTGCACAAAATTAAAACCCCCTGTGATTAAGTCTTAAGATGAGAGATAGATACTGTTTTACTTTACCTGGAGACGATGGCAATAGCAGCTGTTTCTTTTTTTGGTATGTCTGTGATTCAAGCAGTGCATAGCCAATATACAGAGCTTGAGTCTGTAGCATTGCATTGACTTCATAGTTCAGATGATTTGAAAGGTTATAACTGTAAGTCCATAAAATTGAAAGGAATTTGAAAAGAACCTCTGAATCTTTTAAATGTACCTTAAATTTAATGGAGGGAAGGGGAAAAAAAAAAAAAAAAGAAAAAAGAAAAAAGCACTTGTTTAATAACTTTAATTTATTTGTCAAACTACGACTCACAACATCTGATAAACCACCCAAATCAAAGGATTATACAGAAAGAGAACTACAGAGTCAGAAACAGTGTCTTTTGGGATGAAAAAAGTTATGGAGTAGGTGCTTTTGAGTAAACACTAATTGCACATGTATACAAGTCCACATGTTGCTTAACAGCTGTGGCTTATGTAGTTTAACAGATAACTTGCAGTCTATAGGTATGTAAATACAAGGGACTTTTTTCTAAAATCCTAACAGACTGAAAACACATCTATATGAACATTTGTATAGTATGTTAACTACGCAAGAAAATTGTTATACGCAAAACAAAGAACTTCTATTTCCTGTTTTGTGCAGCAGTAATCTTAATATTAATCTAAGTAATCCCTGACTTTTTCATCAACCATACAAAATGATTTTCAAAAGTCTGTAAGCTAGCATCTCAGAATTGCTGGGCATCCAATTTCCTTGTAGAGCACAGCTTCCTGTGCTGAATACTCACACTAAACTTTATTCTTAGAATTTGTCCTGGATTGGCTGTATAGGCTTTATAATAATAGACCATGGACCAAAATGAACAAGCTGAATCGTAAATGTATCACTGACCATTGCAGACACAGGTCAGAGTGCCTTCTCACCCCCCAGGAGCAACAGCTGCTCCAAGGAGATTCAGTTCACTTTTTCACGCATCTACATTCAATTGCTTTAGGACCTTTCTGTCAAAATGAGGATAGCTTCTGATTTTGAAGCAGTTACATCGTCTCCTAATAGTATCCCAAATCAATTTAAAGTTCTTGCTTACTACATGGTCTGGCAACAGCTAGCATGCTTTCTGACTGCAAGGTGCTCTCTGGAATCCCGAGAGCTCTTCATTCATCAAACGGGAGCGCCCAGCCAACATCCTGCAGACTGGACACAGCTTGCCAGAACAGCTGATACAGCTTCTGACATACTCCTGCCTGTTCTCTTCTTCCATAAGGCCACCGAGATCTACATTCTAGTTATATTAACTGTTCCAGAGCAGGGAAAAATAACTGTCTTGTCCCTTTTGAATTAAACACCCTCAAAATCGGAGACCAGCAGTACTCCATAAGTGAAAGCAGCAAATTATTACTGCAGCTGTTGCCTTCACTAGGTCTTAGGACATTACTAATCCCATTCCACAAACCTTCTGTAGTCCCTCCTCCAACCTTCATTTCTTCTGTGCAGTATGACCCAGCTTGCCCAGTCAAACATCCCACCAAAATAACATCCTCCCTTCCCTGCTGACAGCCTTTAGCCAGCCAGGCACTGAATCAGTCTTTTTAACAGCTCAGTGCCAGTACAATTTCACTAGATCTCGGAGTGACTGATAATTAGACAAAGTTACATATAAGAATTAACATCAGAAACAAGTTTTGTTATGAAATTATTGCTATTCTTTCCTTCCTGTTTGTGTTTGTTGTGCTGTTCTTGAAAAACAGCATCAAATTCCAGTAACAGCAGCTTTGTGTCAATTACGTGCTTCTCTTTTCCTCAGAATGTACAGTTACTACTCCCTGTCATCTAAAACACAGACAGCCATAATCCCTTATTCTCTTTACAAAAATTTATCACGCAATGCAGGTGAGAAAACATGAGATGATGTTATAAAGAAACACGCAATGTCTTCTAGGAGTGTTCCTTTCAATTTTTGTATTTAAAAACTAACAAATTTTACAGAGCAACTGTTTACTTTGCTCCCAGATAGGACCAAAACTTTTAGCTCAGACTTCAAGCTCTTGACTCTGTCCTGCAAATCAGTGTTATGTTTTCACCTCTGCCTCAACTGGTCCATTTATTGTTCTTTTTTTTACTTTAGTTTTCTATTATTACATTTAATTAAGTTTAACTAACCAGCTGAAACTTAGACTTTCATTTGCTTACAGTACTAGCATGCTGCAAGCAGTGTTGCACAATTAGTTCTCCATTTTTCTCTGTTTTCCTTAAAATTATGTAACTGCATAATAGCTGGTGATTAGTAATTCAGAGCAACAGATGCAAAACTAATACCTTGAGTAAGAGATTCATCAATGCTCTGTACTGAACAGCATTGCTTCCCTCACTAGCTCCACATACAAGCAGGTCAAATAGCCCCAAAAGGATGTGCAGGTAGTCTTGGCTATCTTGATTCAGAGATTCAGGATTCCACCAAGTTCCCTCTAAAAAATACAGGTTATAAATAAGACCCAGTGGATGCATATGAACACCTTCAGAAACCAAGAGAAAACAGACATCTCTAGTTAAAAGAAGACAATACATTTGGCTGATTTCATGTTCACAAGTAAGTAATCTTCACAGATCTCAATGACAACAAAGGAAGAAGCTTGGGGAAGCAACGCTTGCTTGTTTCCAACAGCTTCTGAAGACAAAAAAAAAATTAACCTCCTTTCTTCGCTTCATTGATATAAAAGACAGTCAAAACCTTAACACTTACCTTTCGAAAAGGACAGAGGAGGTTTTAGGCCATTAATGAAGTTTTTCAATAAGAACAGGAACTTAGCTGACTCCTCTGCATGAGCAGTCTGATCACTATTGAGCTTTTCTATATATGCAGTTACCAAGTCCTTAGGCACCCAGGTTTCCTCTATTGTTTCAACAGACCAATTTAGGGGAGTTTCCTGTGAATGAAAATTCATTTAAATGTATATAGTCACAATTTCATGCAATAGAAGACAGAAATTTAGCACGAAAATTCAGCAATATTTAATTTCCAACCTCAAAAGAGGTATCCTTATGAATTTAATTACATTTCTTTTAATTTAAACTTGCATCCGCAGTTTTAATACCTATGGCAGCTCTTACTACCAAAATTAACAGTGTATGTAAGTGAAGTAACAGAATAGTAAAATACCAATCCCTCTAAAATACCTCTTCAAAGGGATTAGGAGTTACTCACAGCATTTGGTCGATATTCAGTTTAGTCCTTTCATCTAACTCTGTTCCAGCAACATAATCTACATCTTTCAGATATTTGTATATATAAAAACTATTCAATAGAATAATCTGAGATCAGAATAACCTACTATCATCTATTGCTCTGCGTGTGTATGATGGGGCGCACTTACAGAAACACAGCCCTGCTGACATTGGTTTCTTACACAGCTGTTTCAATACAAAATAAATCAAGTAAACCCAAATGGGGAATATGCATAAAAATAAAGCAAAGAAAAAAGGTAGCAAAAAGATGGAGGCTAAACCTACTTTCTTTTAGTTTAAAACCATTGGCCTTTGTCCTATCACTACAGGTTACCCTGGTAAAAAGTCTCTCTCCATCTTTCTTATAGGCCCCCTGTAAGTATTGAAAGTCCACAATAAAGTGTCCCTGGAGCTTTCTTTTCTCCAGGCTGAACAACCCCGACTCAGCCTCTCATCACAGGAGAGGTGTTCCAGCGCTCTGACTATTTTCATGGCCCTCCTCTGGAATCACTCTTCGTATAAGCTCTTTTTCATACTCAACTGCATTTCCTTCTTTCCCCTATTGAACAAGAACAAACCTTTACTCAATGACTAAAAACCCTGACATTCCTAAGCCAAACAATGACACCACATGATGCCACAGGGTAGCTGGCAGAAATGCCTCAAACTTTGTACCAAGCCCACAGCACTGAAACATTGAATCAGTTGGTGGGACGCTAGCCTAAAGCTCTGCAGTTCTCAATTTTTTAATGCAGACTCACTAGTGTGGTAAAATGTAAGAGCAATTCTTAATGGCAGTTCTAGTAATGCTGCCAGGTGTGTGTTTTTGCTTTGAAAAGAAATGAAGGTGAGATTTTCAGTCTTTCTCAAGGTTTCTGAACTTGTTCTCCAACAAAAAAAAGATTTCTACATTACAAAGAAAACGCCCTGTCCAAACCGTTTACATCTTACCTCTGCAGGATCACAAGCTCTGAGATTTTTTATTTTTTTCTCCAAGAAACAGAAGACTCTGATAGCCACTGCAAAATAATGTTCCTTCATCTGTGTGTTGCAGCAGCACTGAACAAGCACTGAACCAATTATATGAACAGTTACTTTCTGTCTCACACTGTCAGATTCTGTTTCAGCAATGAGTATCAGATCATCAACCTTAGAAAAGGGAGTGGAGGAAAAAAACCAACAAAAAGTCTGTTAAGACAGTGGGACTTCACTACGACTTTACACCATTTTTTCATGTGCAAGTCCGATTAAATCCTCATTATCTTCTATGATAAAGTTACTGTCTGCTGTAACGGTACTCTTTGGAACCTGGAAATGCACAAACATCTGTTACTGTGAAGTACCCACAGGTATACTTGTTTATTCTCTAGAATTTCTTTTCAGAAAACTAGCAACTCCTAGAATTTAGTTACACTAATAATTTGTCAAAATAGGTTACAGCTTCGCTGCTTCTTTTCCTTATGTTAAGGTAGAAATCTGTTTTATCTAGATTGCATTGGGGTTCACTATTCTCTCTCTCTCTTATATATACACACACATATATACACACACAC